GCTCCCTCTCAAAATACATAAGTATTTTTAAAAATTTAAATTTCAAAAGAATTCTTTTTTATTTATTTATTTTTATTTGAGAGAGAGAGAAAGAGAGAGAGGGAGAGCACGCACAAGTTGGGGAGAGGGTCAGAGGAAGAGACAGAGAATCTTAGCAGACTCCATGCTCAACACAGAGCCTGACACGGAGCTCGATCCCATAACCCTGAGATCCTGACCTGAGCCGAAACCAAGAGTCAGACACTCAACCAACTGAGCTACCCAGGTGCCCCTTCTACCTTATTTTAATACAAGTACTTTCATTAAAACAAAAATTACTGTCATCATCAATATCACTTTAGAATTTAAACCTTTAAAATGCAACAAGAAAAAGCAGGCCATTAACATGGTTTTCCCAAGTCATGAAAAAGAAATAAAAGGAATAAATTTTTATAACAAATTAAAAATTACCACTTAAAGGTACTCTAAGTTAATAGAAAGTCAAAAGGATTAGTAAGAGCTTAGTAAAGCAAGAGCAAATACAATATACTCTCCTGGGGGCACCCAGGTGACTCAGTCAGTTAAGTGTCCAACTTCGGCTCAGGTCATGATCTCACAGTTCAAGCCCCATGTTAGGGCTCTGTGCTGACAGCCCAGAGCCTGAAGCCTGCTTCAAATTCTGTGTCTCCCTCTCTCTGCCCCTCCCCCTCTCTCACTCTGTCTCTCAAAAATAAATAAACATTAAAAAATAAATTTTAAATATACTCCCCTGTTACATAGTATTCCTTACTAGAAGATCAGCAGGAAAATGACACAAAGAGAACCCATTCACTGTAGTAACTCAAGAACAACAACAAAATCTTAAGAATCATCGTAAGAATATATCCAACCTTTGTAAAACTTACCAAAGAAAAGATATTGCTAAATTTAATAAAAGGTGAATAGAAGAATATACTATATTCCTAGAAGCAAACTCTTAATTAAAATCACAAAAGAACTATTGGTTACAGAAAAGATTACAAGAAGATGACTACTGAATATTCATTATTAAAAATAGGAAAGATTATAAAAAATAGCTTATAACAGAAAGGCAGAGTTACAGGGAGATCCTTTGCTACCAGACATAAGAACTTACTGAAAAACAAAATTACTAAACAAGATGGCACAACATAAAGGCAAAAATTTAAAGGAACAAAGTATATAGAAAGTTTAAAAATGCCAAATGTAAGATGTAATAATGATAAAGATGCCAGGGGCACTTGGCTGTCTCACTTAAAAGATAGGTAACTCTTGGTCTCAGGGTTATGAGTTCGAGCCCCACACTGGATGTAGTGATTACTTAAATAAATATTTAAAAAAAAATAAAGATGGCAAATGTAATATACAACAATATGCAAGCTTTCAAAAAGAAGATAAAGATTATTTAATAAATGGTACATATGAAAGGAAAGCTGAAAAATATAATAACTGAAATGAAAAATAAATTAAAGGGAATCAACATCAAGTTAGATGATGCAGAACGGATCAGTGATCTGGAAGGCAGGGTAGTAGAAATCACCCAAGCTGAACAGCAAAAACTGAAAAGAATTTCTAAAAATTAGGATAGATTAAAGGGACCTCAAGGAGAGTGTCAAGCATACTAACATTTGCATTATATGAGTCTCAGAAAAGACAGTGGGGAAGTGCAGAAACTTTATTTGAAGAAACAACAGATGAAAACTTCCCTAAACTGGAAAAGGAAACAACATTCAGGTCCAGGAAGCACAAAGAGCTCCAAACAAGATAAACCCAAAGAGGTCAACCAAACATATAATTAAAAGCCCAAAAAGTAAAGATAAAGAGAAAAGAATACCTTAAAGGCAGCAAGAGAAAAAAAACAATGAGTTACATACAATGGAAACTCCGTCAGGTTATCCAGCTGATTTTTCAGCAGAAACTTTGGAGACCAGAGGAATGGGCATGATATAGTCAAAGTACTGAAAAGAAGAAACTTACAACCAAGAATACTCTACCCAGCAAAATTATCTTTCAGAACTGAAGGAAAGACAAAGTTGCCCAGACAAACAAAAGCTTAAGGAGTTAATGACCACTAAACTGGCCTTACAAGAAATGTTATAGGGATTTATTTAAGCAGAAAAGGAAAGGCTGTGATTAAAAGTAAAAGAATTATGAAAGAAAACAATCTCACTGCTGAAAGCAAACATACAGTAAAGGTAGTAGGTCAACAACTTATAAAGCTAGTATGAAGGTTAAAGAGAAGAATAGTAAAACCTACCTACCCTAATTACTTAGAAGATGTACAAAATAAAAAGATATAAAATACAGTGTCAAAAAATAAAATGTAAGGTGAGGGAATAAAAATATATTGCTTTTAGAATGTGTTCAAACTTAACCACTAATTTAAAATGCACTGCTGTATACACAGGTTGTTATAGATGAACCTCATGGTAGCCACAACAAAAAACCTATCATAGATACATAAAAAATAAACAGAACGGAATCCAAATATAACACTAAAGAAAGTCATCAAATCACAAGGGAAGGGAATAAAAGATGAAAGGAACAGAGAAGAACTACAAAAACAACCAGAAAATGATTAACAACTAACATACCTATCGATAATTACTTTAAATGTAAAAGGACTAAATGCTCCAAAGACAGAGGGTGGCCGAATGGATAAAAAACAAGATCCATCTAATATGCTGCCTGTAAGTGACTCACTTCAGACCTAAAGAAAGAGAAGGCCTCAAAGTGAAGGGATGGAAAAAGATATTCCATGCAAATAGAAACTGAAAAGAAAGCTAAAATACCAATAATCGTATCAGGCAAAACAGACTTCAAGACAAAGATTTGAAGAAGACACAAAGAAGAGCCTTATAAAGGGATTAATCAAATAAGAGAATATAACAATTGTAAATATCTAAGCAACCAACACAAAAGCATCGAAACATAGAAAGCAAGTATTACAAGATGTAAAAGGAGAAATTAACAGTCACACATGATAATGGTAGCGGAACACAGCATCTACTTCCAGCAATAGCAAATCATCCAGGCAGAAAACCAATAAGGAAACACTGGTCTCAACACATTAGACTAGGTGGACTTAACAGATATATTCAGAATATTCCATCCAGACACAGCAGAACACACATTCTTTTCTTTTTTTTTTTTTAATTTTTTTTTCAACGTTTATTTATTTTTGGGACAGAGAGAGACAGAGCATGAATGGGGGAGGGGCAGAGAGAGAGGGAGACACAGAATCAGAAACAGGCTCCAGGCTCTGAGCAGTCAGCACAGAGCCCGACGCGGGGCTCGAACCCACAGACCGCGAGATCGTGACCTGGCTGAAGTTGGACGCTCAGCCGACTGCGCCACCCAGGCGCCCCACACATTCTTTTCAAGTACATGAAACATTTTCCAGGATAGGTCGCATGTTAGGCCACAAACCAAGTTTCAATATTTTTAGGAAGACTTATATCATATCAAACATCCTTTCTGACCACAATGGTACAAAACTAGAAATCAATTATAAGAATAAACTGGAAAAAACACAAACACATAAAGCCTAAGCAAAAGGCTACCAAACAAACAATGGGCCAATGAAGAAATCAAAAAAGAAAGGAAAAAAAATACCTGAAGACAAATGAAAACAGAAACACAATGCTCTAAAATCTACAGGATGCAGCAAAAGCAGTTCGAAGAGGCAAGTTTACGGAAATATAGGCGCCTAAGTCAAGAAGCAGCAAACATCTCAATCTAACCTTGTACCTAAAGGAACTAGAAAAAGAACAAAGCCCAAAGTTAGTGGAAAGAAAGAAATGATGCAGATCAGAGCAAAAATAAATGAAATAAGAGACTAAAACACAATAGAAAAGATCACTGAAACGAAGAGCTAGTTCTTTCATGAATTGTTTTTAATGTTTTTTTTTTAATGTTTATTTTTGAGAGAGAGAGACAGAGACAGAGTGTGAGTAGGGTAGGGGCAGAGAGAGAGGGAGACGCAGAATCTGAAGCAGGCTCCAGGCTCTGAGCTGTCAGCACAGAATCTGATACGGGATTCGAACTCACGGACCGCAAGACCTCAGCTGAAGTCGTATGCTTAACCACCTGCGCCATCCAGGCACCCCTATGTTTATTTATTTTTGAGAGAGAGAGTGAGAGAGCGCAAGTAGGGGAGGGGCAGAGAGAGGAGGACAGAGGATCTGAAGGGGGCTCTGCACTGACAGGCTGAGAGCAGCGAGCCTGATGTGGGGCTCCAACTCACCAAATCACGAGATCATGACCTGAGCCAAAGTAAGATGCTTAACCAACTGAGCCACCCAGAGGCCCCCCGCTCCCGCCAGAACATTTTAAATGCATTATGCCACTTTTAAGTGATAGTATATTTTGCAGCCATTAATATAAAAGATTTTTTAAAACTTATATTCTGCATAATGAAAATAACAATGTAAAATAGCTTAAGAAATACGTAAAAATATTAAACATAATTTTTAAATAATATTAAAAAGTGTTTGCATAAGGGAAATGAGATCATGGGTCACTATTAATATTATTTCCTTAAACAATTACCTTTATTTATGTTAAACTGTTATTTAACTTCAAGTGGGAGAGAAAAGTAAACCTATCAAGATTAATCAAAAATACACAAATCAATACCAAGTTACCTTTAGAAAAATCAATTTTAAGAACTGAGGTATACTTCAGTAGTTTCTAATTAGTCTTACCATATCAAAAGGGAGCTACTACTACATAAATTTTGGTAATTTCAAAATTTATTTGGTCCAGTGAAAAAAATTTCATTGCAGATAGATTTTCATTTCCTTCATAATCCATTTACCTCGAAATGATGAAGGTTCTTGAAGAGCATTACTTGCCAGTCTAGCTGGTCCACAGAACACCAATATAGTGACGGGTGTCACTGCTGAACAACATCGAATATTAGCTATTCTATGGGCCCTGGTCATTTCATCATAAATAAGCCAATCTGTAGGTAGTGCCTGAATCGCTGCAGCCTGACCATTGGCTGGAGGAATCTATTAGAAAAATGGATTGAAGAATTGTTAACTGTATATCACCTAGTTTACCGGCAATACTTTTAAAATGTAAAAAGTCCCTAAATGAAACAGATGAGGTGTATTAATACTCAAGCAAAAACTAAAGCACGTCCTTGTTCATACAGCTAGTAGTCCTCATTACCTAACACACTACCTCTTCCAACTCTCAGATTCCATCAAAAATTTGTTCCAATGTTGAATTAGACATAGGTAACTAATTTCTTAAAGCAGGCTGGTATTTGGAGCATTTTTGGTTGATCTTCAACTATGTAAATTAGATCAGTTTGACTTCAAGGCCTAAGACAGCATTAAAAATGTTTTACCTTTTTATACTGAGGCTGACTGAGAACTGAAGTGGGATGAAACCGAACTTTTTTCTCCTTTGGCCCTGTCAGTACTACATTCTCTCTGTCCACATGGACTACATTAGGATACATGCCTGCCACCAATGCAGCTTTAACGACAGCCCAGTTCTCGGAATTTGTGTTAACATCTCGAATATCACCACCGCCTCGTGCTCTAACAAAACCTAGAAGGAGGAAAAAAACCACACCAACTTTTTCTATTGTGCAAAATATACTTTTAAACGTATGCATTTTTTACAAAAATTGTATAGCCCATGTAAGTTTAGGGATATTCAAATTCCAGAGCAATTAATAAAATCTCCTCTGGTAAGTTTAAGATACAGATTAAATATTCTAATAAAGTTTAGGTTTGTTCACTAGGGATGTGGGACTCTTAAAAAAAATACACACTCTTGCTATAAAAGTTCTTCATAAGCTGCGATCAGAAATGTACTAAAATTTAAAAAAAGAAATGCACTAAAGTCACAGCTGAAAATTTAAAAAAATACACACTCTTGCTTTTTATAAAGTTCTTCTTAAGCTGCTGTGAGAAATGTACTAAAATTTAAAAAAAGAAATGTACTAAAGTCACAGCTGAAAATTTTTTAAAAAATACACACTCTTGCTACAAAGTTCTTCATAAGCTTCTATGAGAAATGTACTAAAATTTAAAAAAAGAAATGTACTAAAGTCACAGCTGAACATCTAAACCACTCTTCTACCTGGTATTAATAACACTGTGGTTATGACAGACAAATTCTGGAGTGAAGTAAATATATTCTTGCTTGAATTTCCAAAGCCCTTCACATTTCCCGATATTTACAACAACTCGAAATCCTTTGGCTCGCTCCTTATATTATTTTAACACTTTAGCTAATCTATGAATCCTGGCTCTAGTAGTCTTTGGCTATTTTTTCAATGTACCATGCTACTCAAAAGGAAATTTAAAGATACAATTCTAAATTGACATAGCAATACTGACATTCTCTTTTTAAAAAAAAAAAAATTAAGTATCTTCAAGTGATTACTAGTTGTTTTATGTTCCACAAACATGAAGACCAGCATTCAGATCAACCTACTTACATTTTTTAACTTCTATTTCACAGACATAATGATCGTTTATTAATAGTGATAAAACAGAGCTACATTATCTACAATGATCTTTGCCAACAAATAGACTACAAATTGCTCACTGCCTACAGTATCAAAAGGTGTTCATAGATTTCTCAGCTACAAGCCTCCACAATATCATTTTTTAAATCAACAAACTCTGAGATCACATAGGAGTCTACAACACAGTTCATAAATACAAGATCTACAACAATGTGAAAAAATCATAAAAATAATGTAAAATGGCATCAGTTAACACTACAAATACTACGAAGTATAGGTAGGGTACTCTCAGTGGTCTAAATAGGTTCTCTGGGGAAAACATTACCTGATGCTCTAAGTTGACCAAGCAACTGAGTTCTCATACCAATGATTATTTCCATGGTAGCTTGCGAAAGAAAATTCTTTTCGCAAAAGGCTCGCTCCCACCCATCACTTCGTGCTTTCTGCCATGCCTACAAAAACATAATTATATAATGAGACACATTTACCAAACTCCTTAGTTAGGCAGCAAAGTAACTGAAAACCACTACATTAACCACTCAAGGTCAATTCTCCTTCTAATTATTTGATAAAATCTAGGACTTCATTAAAAAAAACAAAACTCAGGGCGCCTGGGTGACTCAGGTCAGTTATGCGTCCGTCTTCAGTTCAGGTTGTGATTTCATAGTTCGTGGGTTCGAGCCCCACATCAGGCTCTGTGCTGACAGCTTGGAGCCTGAAGCCTGCTTCAGATTGTGTCTCCCTCTCTCTCTGCCTCTCCCTGCCTTGTGCTCTCTCTCTCTCAAAATTAAATAAACATTTATAAATAAACAAACAAACAAAACTCAAAGATACAGAGAACAGATTGGCAGTTGCCAGAGGTGAGGGAGGAGAGGAAGTAAAATGGATGAAAGGAGTCAAAAGATACAAACTTCCAGTTACAAAATAAATTAAGTCCTGGGAAGGTAACTGTAGTACAGCATGGTAACTATAGTTAATAACACTGTATTGTATATTTGAAAGTTCATAAGAGATATTTTTTTTTGTCCACTTTTTTTTATTGAGGTATCACTGACATTTAACATTATACTCATTTCCGGTATACAAAATAGTGATCCAATATCCATATATTAATGTGAAATTATCACCACAATAAATCTAGTTAACATACCAGAGAGTATATCTTAAAAGTTATCATCACAAACAGAAAAAAATTTGTAACTATATGCAATGATAGATGTTAACTAGACTTACTGTGGAGATCATTCTGCAATAAATACAATTACAGTATCAATGTGTTTTACACCTAAAACTAATATGTCAATGACGTCTCAATTTTTTTTATTAAAATTTTAAAATTAGGGGGCGCCTGGGTGGCTCAGTCAGTTGAGCGACTGACTTCAGCTCAGGTCATGATCTCGCAGTTTGTGAGTTCGAGCCCCGTGTCGGGCTCTGTGCTGACAGCTCAGAGCCTGGAGCCTGCCTCGGATTCTATGTCTCCCCCTCTCTCTACCCCTCCCCTGCTCACGCTCTGTGTCTCTCAGTCTCTCAATAATAAATAGACATTAAAAATTTTTTTTTAATTTAAAAATAAAAAAATAAAATTTTAAAATTAAATATAAAAAATAAAATCTAAGACTTTATGATCAGATGAAATTTATCATTAATTTATACTCAAATGCTACGAAAGTCACTGAGTTTATAAAATCCCAATGAAAACTACGTATCCTTTAACTTAAATGACCAGCTGTGTAAACATATTTAACTTTTCATATGTGTTTGCTAATTTTCTTCCACTGAAGTGTGGGAGGTTTTTAACTAAGCCATTATAAACACCACTTATATTTAAGGATTCTGCCACTCCAGTCCTCCAAAAATAAGCTCTATATCAACCTCTTAATCTATCTTTGAATGGGAAGTGGGATTTCTAGAAACCATCTATATGCAGTATACGAAAACTTCTCTTTGAAAATGACTTTTCTTGCTTTGGAATATAACTGAAAGACCAAAGCAGTAATTTATCCTTTCTGCTCTTGAAGGAGCTGGGAGAAAAGCAAAAAATACATAGGAATTCTACTCCAAATCTCCCTCTAATTATTATCTACTCAACTAATCTACTGTAAGACGTGGTATCTAATAGACTCAATAGCATTGCATTATCCATTGTTCAATAATGCTCACAAAATAGCTTGCCAGTGTTTTCTTTAAACCGTATATAGTGAAAAAATCATCTATGCCTGGAAAAGAGTCACTTCTGCATAAACAAAATGAAATTTTTTTTTATGTTTATTTTATTTTTGACAGAGAGAGAGAGAGAGAGAGAGACACGGCATGGGCAGGGGAGGGGCAGACAGATAGGGAGACACAGGATCTGAAGCAGGCTCCAGGCTTTGAGCTGTCAGCACAGAGCCTGATGCAGGGCTCAAACTCACGAACAGTGAGATCAACCCTGAGCCGAAGTTGGCACTTAACCAAATGAGCCACCCAGGCGTCCCAACAAAATTAAATTTTTAAAAAATGTATAGTCATAGCCCACATTCAAGAGAATTTAAGGATGCCTTTTCTAGAAATAACATATTCTTCTCCACATATCTGAAATTCTAAATTAGATATCATTTCCTTTCCTCAGAATCCTATTTTCCTTATCTTTTCTTTCTTATTTATCATGTTCATCAATTTCTCACTACTGTTATCTTTTTTTTTTTTAATTTTTTTTTTTTTTTTAACGTTTATTTATTTTTGAGACAGAGAGACAGAGAGAGAACGGGGAGGGGCAGAGAGAAATGGGGAGAACCGAAGTATGTCCAGGCTTCTGGGCCAGCCTAGAGCCCCTGACGCTGGTCTCACACGACATGAGATCGTGACTCTGATGTGAAGTACCGGAACTTATAACTGACCTTTGAGCCACCCAGGTCCTCTCTCCTACTACTGTTATCTTTAAAGTTTTGAATGATGATTATATTTATTTAAATTAGTTGCTCAGCATTGTGTCTTGAGCACACAAGAAAAAGACATACTCTAAAAAAAAAAAAATCAACACAGAGATACTAAATTCAAGATAAGTTTCTTCCTCGGTTTGTTCTACATACTTTGAATAATATACATTATCTTTTTTTTTTTAAGTTTACTTATTTTTTTTTTAAGTTTTTTTTTTTTAACGCTATATTTATTTTTGGGACAGAGAGAGCACAGAGCCAGAACTGGGAGGGGCAGAGAGAGAGAGGGAGCACCCAGAATCTGGAAAGCAGTCCCGCTCTGGTTATCAGCTCGCCCAGAGCCCGACCAAGGCTCCGAACATACCGACCATGATCGCAACCTGGGAAGTCGGACGCTTAACTCGCCATATGGGCCACCTAGCGGCGCTTCTCCGTAAGTTTACTTATTTATTGTGAGAGAGGGGGAGAGGCAGAGAGAGAATCCCAAGCAGGCTCCACACAGTGTGGAGCCCAACGTAGGTTCAAACGCACGAATCATGAGATCATGACCTGAGCCAAAATCAAGAGTCAGACACTCAATCGACTAAGTCATCCAGGCACCCCATAATATACATTGCTTCTCAACCAAAATTTGAGAGCATTTCCTGCCCAAGATATGATTAAAAGGAACTTGGATATCGGGGCGCCTGGGTGGAGCAGTCGGTTAAGCGTCCGACTTCAGCCAGGTCACGATCTCGCGGTCCATGAGTTGGAGCCCTGCGTCGGGCTCTGGGCTGATGGCTCAGAGCCTGGAGCCTGTTTCCGATTCTGTGTCTCCCTCTCTCTCTGCCCCTCCCCCGTTCATGCTCTGTCTCTCTCTGTCCCAAAAATAAATAAACGTTGAAAAAAAATTTTTTTAAAAAAAAAGGAACTTGGATATTAAAAAATACATATAAGTAAATAAATATATACATACACATATTCCTACAGGGAGAAAACTGAGAAAATAAAAGAAAAAAAGGTAGAGAAAAACAGTGATAATTTTAACACAAGGACAGCAGGAATGTATGTTTCTGAGCTATTTATAAAATGTGACTTTATAAGGAAACCAAATTAATGGAGTCCTAGCTCTTTTTTAATTTGTTACACTTGCCCCAGAAGTGTGTTCAACCAGCAACATGTTCAGAAATGAAATGACAACAACGACCAGTACCTGGAATGCTCTGAGAAGTGCCATGTGGTCACTGAAAGTTCCTGCAGTGAAGCGTTTCCTACAGAGCATAGCTGCGCGCTTTTGAGAGGCCTGGGTTGGCAGTACAAAAGGGTCTCGATAGGCCAGGGTGCAGGCAATTGTAAGGATGGGGTCCAGACACTTTAACACGACAGCACACAGGACCATTTTTCCAAGATGTGGTTCTACGGGCAGGTCAGCCAAATGATACCCAAGCTCAGTGAGATCTTCCCACGCGTCCATTGCATCTATTGTCTAAATAAAAGCACACAAAACAGAATCTAGCAGGACCAAAATGTTTCATGATGTTTAATCGAACCGCATACTTAAAAATCATAAAGAAATAAAAATGTAAATTTTCTTTTGCCACATCTTATAGAAAACATCGTTTGCTTCAAATATTTTATATAAAAAAGATCTACATCAACTGTTTTACTGTAATTACCATGAGAGTATTATTCAAAATACATGCTTCTTTCAGATAATCTTTTTAAGTACAAAAATCAGGCAAGATATATTCCCACTTTAAATTTCAAGTAAAATCAGTAAAGTGAAAACTATGAAGACACGAACCTTAAGCATGTGTACAGCATTTCTTACAATTAAAGCAGGTGGAGGTTCAGGAGCTTTCATTAGGAAATCAGCAATAGGACAATTAACTGGGGCTAACAGCTTAGTATGTAAACAAAGTTCCTGCAAATAAGAACAGCAAATAATGTTGAAATGCTGAAATTTATGGTGATTTTGTTTTTTAAAGAAATCATGGGAAACACAGTCCCCAAACCGACTAGTAGAGTCTCTGCTTAAAATGAACAGTAGAGGGAACCATGTCTTTCTATGAAAGACAGGCTCTAACCTTGCCCTAGGTGCTAGAACTTTAATATAATAAACACCCTCCATGACCTCCTATCAAGATTACCATTGCCCACACTGGCGATGTCTCCTCACACAGTTCTTATACATAACAGTAAGAGTTATTGTCCAGAAGTCTCTTTTTTTCCTTTACATTACATTCTAGAATCTTTTATCCGTTCAACAAAGTGCTTGCCAGGTGCTAGGGACTATGCAGCAAGTTGGGAGAAAAAGAAGATAGACAAGTGTCTGCCCTGGTGGATTTTTCATGGTGGGAAAAACAGAATAATGACACAATTAACTACTTAGTTACAATTTTTATAAATGCTGTGAAGGATACAGAGAACTAAAGAGGTAAAGGAAAATATTTAATCAAGTTCAGGAAAGGGCAGGAGGAGGCCATGGGAAGTCAAAGACAACATCTCTGGGGAACCAGCACTTAAACTTGGATGTAACGACTGAGTAGGAGGTAATTATCAAAGAAACAAGAGGGAGGATTCTAGGGAGAGCGGAGCACACAGAGGAAGCCCCTAATACAGAAACAAGGTGTGCTTGAGAAATTCGAACTACTGGTATGAGCAGAGAGAGAAGGAAAGACAAGATGTCAAAATTAAGACTAGAGACACAGGAAGGGCAGATAATGTAGGCTCCTGTTAAGAGTTTTGTATTTTATCCTAAGACCATAAGGCATGGAAAAGTGGGAAGTTATCCAGGTACATGAATACCAAAAACATGATCCAGTATCTCTGGAAATGTTTAGAAACCAACATCCATCTCAGCACACCAGATAATCAAATTTATGTACTTCCGGTAGTTTTCCCTAGAAACTACAATGTCTGGCTGTTCTGTGAAGTGAGAAGACCTAAAGCAAAACAATAAAGGCCAGGAAATTCTCAGCAGACTCCCTTCTAAACTACCATCGTAATCTCAGCATCTTAAACTGAGATTGTGGCATTATCTTTTGGACCTTAAATAATTTGTTTTCTAATCCTCAGTGAGAATGTGAAAGGTGAACACAATGTGGTCGTTAGACTTCTAAAATGTCGCATATAAAAAAAAGCATATTTATAAACTGTACCATAATTTAAATGCATTCAAGTAACTCTTTAAAATTTTAGAGGTTTATGGATTTTCTAGTATAGGAAAAAAATGTTAGGTACATAACCACCCTACATAATATACATTTTATAAGTTCGTTTTATGAGTTGATTATTTAAAGTCCAACTAGTATAAGTTAAAATGGTCCTTTCTCCTCTGTCACCCACAAAAATAGCCTCTAATTTAGAGTTTCGTAAATTCCTACCTGTAATGGCATTCTCAAAAGTTCTGGAGTCTGAAATTCCAACATATTCTGGAATCGGAGTCTGCTGAACAGCCGGAAACAAATTCCAGGTCTACATCTCCCTGCCCTTAAAAGTGAAATAAAAAATTGAGATTCAAACAAGAAATGAAGACTATATCAAGGAAACTATACAAGCAGTGTGCTAAGGAGACAGAGCAATGGACCAGGGTCAGGACATCTGAGTGCAAATCCCTACTATGATACTCCTCCCCTCTGAATCTTTCCAGAAGGCACTTTACCCATCTGGAATTCATTTATAAAAATTCATGAATGACACCTACCTGATAAGCCTTCTAAGGAAATGATTAAAAAAAATTTTTTTAGGTAAGATACATATGAGACTAAAAATAAAGAAAAAATACATGGTAATTTAAATTTCACCAGCTTTGTATATGTAAATGATGAATCACTGAATCCTGCTGAAACCAATATTGCACTGTATGTTAACTAACTAGAATTTAAATAAAAATTTGAAAAGAAAATAAATTTCATCAGCTTTACTGAACTGACACAAGCACTGTGCTCAGAGCTCAGTGCATATGCCGCTGTTTAGAATTGCACAAAGCAGGCATTAAACAGCTCCCAGGGAGTGGCATCCCCACCACCCTCCCCGTCACCCTACAGACTTGTATCATTTTCTGGGAAGCAGCAGAAAAATATCTCGAAGAAAAGCAGTCTCTTTTCATTTCACCCACAGTCATCATGTCCGCTAATGGCAAGGCTGAGTATGCTAAATGAGAGAGATACAGAAATATCCCTACCTTGGCAAAGCTCACAATCCAGACCCCCAAACATAAGTAACACACTGTTGTAGTTACAAAGTTACAAAAAATTAGACTCTGGACCACTGCTTCCTTCATCAGTACTTTCCTCACTATCAACCCATCCGCTTTCCCTCCTCTCCTGCCTCTTCTGAGATACCTCTGTCTTTTGCCAGTCCTTAAATGTTGATGTTCCTGTGAGGCTGGACCTCAGCCCTCTGCTCTCCTGCTCTACCCTCTCTCCCAAGGGGATCCTAATTATCCTCCTGACTTCAATTTCCATCCACTGAGATCTCTTCATCCTAACCCTACATTTACCCTTATGAAACCTTTTAGCCCCACTTAGGTTTTCCAGTCAAACTCAACACAACCAAAAGTTCATTCTTCTCCCCAACAGAACCACTATTCCCACTTTCCATGACGACGGCACCACCATCCACAAAATTTCTAAGACACCTGTATGACATCCTTGACTCCACAGTATTCCTTACCCCTTAGTATCTCCTGAATTATCTACTTTATTTCTCCACTATCACAATCCACACTACTGTCATCTCTCCCTTACTTTAAATGCAAATATTAATGAAAGAGCCTCCTACTGGGTCCTCCTACCATCAGTTTTGTCTGTACCAACTCATTCTTCAAAGAGCTAAAAGAATATGATCATTGAACCATCCTCTGGTTTATTAAGAAGACAGAAAACACAAAAGGGTCCTTAAGGACCTGTCCGCAACTTACCTCTTTCTGCTCTTTTCACCATTCTCCTCTAAACTAAACTCCACCCAAACAACTTTCTTGCTCACGCTTTTCTTTAGGCCTTTGCGTAAGCCTTGCCTCTGCTAGAAAAGCCTTCCCACAACATCTTTTTTTTAACATTTATTTATTTTTGAGAGACAGAGAGCCACAACACCTCTTTATTCATATTTATCTCAGATTCTACCTTAACTCCTCTAGAAGCATAATCCAGTTGTAGCACAAATCACATAGTATTATCATTGCTTACTTTACTGGATTCCAAGAAGAACTACACCATTCCCCCCACCTCAAACTCTACTCATCAGGCTCTATTGATCATTGTATCCCTAACACTTGCACAGTGAAGGCTGTAAAAAAAAAAAAATACCTGTTGAAAGAGATGACAAGAAAAATTTTAACAATTTCTGATTTTCATCCCTAATAATATACTATTAACAGCCTATAAACCTAGCTCAGTGTATTAAGCCACACCTTGTCATAAGAAAACAACTGATACGGTAATAGCAACAAGCCCTCAAGAACATCCTATGAAAGTATAAAGCACAGAAATAATGCATCCACCATCTTCAGCATATGAGGCACATCTTTAAAGTCAGTATCTGATGTTGTTCTATCAGTTAAAATGAAAGAAAAAAATCAGTCAAATGATTATCGAAAAATACGATACTTTTTTTAATCTTTTTTTAAAAAGAAAAGTAACGCAAGCATGTTATTTATTTATTAAAATAAGTAACCAAACTACAAAGCAATAAAATGAAAATTAAATCTCCTTCAAGAGCCCCACAAACCCACCTTCTCGGAGTCAACAATTGTTTTTTTTTAATGTTTCTCTCAAACTTGACAATGCATTTGTGCCTAAATGTATACTGGGGCGCCTGGGTGGCTCAGTCGGTTGAGCATCAGACTTCGGCTCAGATCATGATCTCACGGTTTGTGGGTTCGAGCCCCGTGTAGGGCTTTGTGCTGACAGCTCAGAGCCTGAAGCCTGATTCGGATCCTGTGTCTCCCTTTCTCTTTGCCCCTCCCCCACTCACACTCCATCTCTCTCACAAAAATAAACATTAAACTATATATACACATACATATATACATACACATATACATATTTAGCACAAGCAAATACTATTGGATGCATGTTCTACACCTTACTTTTTTCAATTAATAACATATTCTGAAAACCCATTCCACTATAAAAATACATACATCTACATCTTTCCTTTTAACACTTACCTAGTATACCATTGTGTGACTACAGCATAATTTATCTAACTACAATACTTCACTACTAATGGACACTACAATGTTCTCAGATTTTTCACTATTACAAACAATGCTGCAGAAAACATTCTTAAACACATCCCTGCACACAGTGCACAAGTATACTCAGGACAAATTATGAGAAGGTGAATCCAGTGGCAAAGGGTAGATCTGGATCGACAGTTTCAAACTGTCCTCTGAAGAAGTCACACCAATTTACACTCCCATCAGCAAACCATGAAAGCTTACTGGCCTATACTTGTGCCAACTCTGTTGTATGTACTGTTAAACATTTTCATCAATGACAATCCAGTGATAAGCAAAAAATATTACCTCACTAATTTACATTTCTTTTGGCATATATGAGGTGATATATGTGAGGTTCATGTATTGGTCTTCGTGAATTGATTTGGAAGGGGTTTTTTTGCAAAATACAGAAATTAGTCCTTTGTCCTATGTAGCAAATATTGAAGAGATTTTCCATTTAATTTTGTCTATTTTTCTTACATCTTCTGAGTATAGATTATACTAGGCAAAAAAATTTAAAATAAGCTGAATTCAACCTTTAAAAAAAAGTATATTTTAAAATGGATTGCTTTACAAAAATATAAAAATGAAGATTAACATGAAAACCTTAACATTTTATAGAAAGAATATATATTAAATATGTAATACATACCAAAATGTTTCCATTTTATAGGCAATTGAGTGAATGAATGTACATTACCTGCCTTTTCGTTGTATGGCACTAGCTTTGGATATCCACACCATTTTTAACATTGTAACAAAATTCAGTGCATCAAAGGATTTCTGTAATTAAGTTTTCTTCATGTTAAAACTTTTATAAAAGGTGTTTAAGAAGAAACAGCAAGAAACATTATGAATATATTTTAACATGCCAAGTTTAATTTAAAGCCTCTTCGCCTGGGTGGCTCAGTCAGTTAAGCGTCCAACTTTAGCTCAGGTCATGATCTCGCAGTCTGTGAGTTCGAGCCCCGCCTCAGGGTCTGTGGCTGGCAGCTCAAAGCCTGGACCCTGCTTCAGATTCTGTGTCTCCCTCTCTCTCTCTGCCCCTCCCCTGCTGAGCGCGTGCTCGCTCTCCGTCTCTCTCACTCTCAGAAATAAATAGGGGTGCCTGGGTGGCTCAGTCAGTTAAGCGACCCGACTTTGGCTCAGGTCATGATCTCCCGGTTCATGGGTTCCAGCCCCATGTCAGGCTCTGTGCTGACAACTCAGAGCCTGGAGCCTATTTTGGATTCTGTGTCTCCCTCTCTCCCTGCCCCTTCCCTGCTTGTGCTCTGTCTCTCAAAAATAAACACTAAAAAAAAAAAAAAAAAAAAAAAAAATTT